GAGCCAGGGAAACAGAACACTCCAGATGGGTCTGATCAGGCAGAGCCGAGTAGCACTGGGGTACTCCCTCCTCCAGGCCTGATATCAAATACTCCTCTCCTTCCTTTCCCCCTCCTCCATCCCTCTCCCTCCACTTCCAGGCTTCCCCCTGGGTCTCTCCTCAGGGCCCTGGGAACAGAAACAAACTTGGCAGTGCCGGGGACAGTGCAAGGAGGAGAAGGTGATGACGCAGCTCAGTGTCTTGCCCTCGCAGCCTCGGGCACGCAAGCAGGCAGGCTTCTCCAAAAATAACCCCGTCCAAACAGTCAGCCTCTTAGTAATTTCCCAGGAGCCCTTCGTTTCAGCTTCCCAGGGTGTGGTCCTCAGTGTCCCTGTGCCCATCTGTTCCCTCGCCACCCTTCCCAGAGCTTAATGGGTTGGCTTAAACTGACACAACCATTGTTCCATATGTCAAGGTCTAAATACACTTCAAAATATATTTTTATGGAACATTTTTATGGTTAAGTAAACATCATCGTATGGAGTGTAATGCAGCTATGAGAAAAATATCTGTATACACTGATAGGGAAAGAGCTCCAATACGTACAGTAAAGTGAAAAAGGCAGGTTTGTAAAGCGGCAGTTATAATGGAATTTACTGAGTTTTTTTTTTTTAAGACTTTCATTTATCTATTTGAGAGAGAGAGAGAAATCATGCGTGAGAGAGGGAGCACAAGTGGGGGAGCGGCAGGCAAAGGGAGAGGGAGAAGCAGGCTCCCCGCTGAGGGAGAAACTGTTCAAGTTGTTGGAAGTTACAAGAGCAGGACTAGAACCCAAGGTCACATGTAAGACCCTTGCCCCTTCATCTTATACTTTAAACTTTTTCTAAAATAAAAAAATTACATAAAAATGGCTGGAGTTCGAGGGCACCTGGGTGGCTCAGTCGGTTAAGCATCCGACTCTTGGTTTCCGCACAGGTCATGATCTCAGGGTTATGAATGGAGACCTGTGTCAGGCTCCGTGCTAGGTGTGGAGACTGCTTAAGATTCTCTCTCTCCCTCTCCCCCTCCACCCTCATGTGCCTGCGGTCTCTCTCTCTTAAAAAAAAAAAAAAAAAATGGCCGGAGTTTGAACACTTGAGGCAGGTCGGGCTAGGGGAAAGATGCTGGAGGCTCCTTCCTCTACAGGCCCTCACTGAAATATCACTGGAGTGATCAGATCCCATGGGCCACGTGACCTGGGACGTGGGGAGCAGCTGATATGGGTGATAAATGAAGGACGCAGCTTTAATGCTGACGTAGACCATGACATGTGTATCTGAGAAGGTTAAGCAAGAAAGGCAAGAGATAACTGCACATACAGCATGTTCTCAACCATTTAATATTTTTTTTAAAGATTTTATTTATTTATTTGAGAAAGAGAATGAGATAGAGAGAGCATGAGAGGGGGGAGGGTCAGAGGGAGAAGCAGACTCCCCGCTGAGCAGGGAGCCCGATGCGGGACTCGATCCCGGGACTCCAGGATCATGACCTGAGCCGAAGGCAGTTGCTTAACCAACTGAGCCACCCAGGCGCCCCATGTACTCAACCATTTAGAGAAAACAAATCCATTGAAAAGAAAAAAAAAAAAAAAAACAGTGGGAAAATTGCCAGATGTTAACAGTGGTTACCTTTGAATGATGGAATATTTTTCTGTTTCTCTATACTTTTTTGTACTTTCCAAATTGTCCTCAATGGGCGTACTTGATTTTTATAATCAGAACAATAAATAAAATTTATTTTTATTTTTTTTAAGATTTTATTTATTTATTCATGAGAGACAGAGAGAGAGAGGGAGAAAGAGAGAGGGAGGCAGAGGGAGAAGCAGGCTCCCCAAGGGGCAGGGAGCCCAATGCGGGACTCGATCCCAGGACTCTGGGATCATGACCTGAGCCGAAGACAGACGCTTAACCATCTGAGCCACCCAGATGCCCTGAATAAATAAAATTTAAATCACCAAATGGATTCCAAAGGCTACCCTGAACCCTACCCATTACCCTAGTAATGACTTTGAAACTGCATTGCTTACAATGTTACTGTTACAGATAAGACTATAAAAAGTCCAGCTATTGACACCAGAATGCTATCACGTCATTTCAGTATACATGCATACAAACAAGAATAAGGTGTTTTTCCCCAACTCAGTTTTTGGTTTGACTCATAACCCACCCCCACCCCCCCGCAGGTCAATATTGAGATAAATTAAATCTATTTTCTGTGGGTTTCTGAGGACAATTTCTTAAGGGAGATCCAAACGTGTTCTGAGCAAGGGTGATAGGGCAAAGAACGGATCTGCTTCTTTGTTACTCCAGGTCAGCATAGGACCCCACCCCAAGCCTGCCTGCTGGTCAGTAAATATGGAATGAATAGAATGGGATCACTTTAGACTGCATAACTTGGGCATGAATGTTATAGTTTCACTTTTTATTTGTTTTGTACTAGGTTTTTTTACCTTAGAATCACACGTACTTCACAACTTTACAATTTGGCAGACGTTCACACTTCTTTGCTCACTAGATAGGGTCTCCTAATTTGAGCAGAGGGCTTATCCTCTGCGGTTACTCTCCCACCAACGTTCTCTACCACTTAAAAAGCTGGTGAGTACCCAAGCCTGCCAAGAGCTCTGAGCAATCATAAGCCTGTGTCACGTGACTTGATACCCAAAACAAGTCCAGGAGACACATACCCATTCTTCCCCTCACATTATACAATCCTATCCTCAAGGAACCCAGGAGAGAAGGGTTGACTCAACCCCACTCTTCTGATTCCAAGGCCTAAGCATCTTCCATCCCACTAGTACAGCCTGTGCAGAGACTGGGCAGGAAGGACTTTCACTGTACAGGGAGGAAACTACAGCCCGGGAAGATAAGTAGCACAAAAAGCTAAGTGGGGTCTCTGTCTTCCGACTTCTTGCTGCCTTTTGCTATACGAGGATACTCAAAGCAGCTCCCTACCGGGCAAGCAAGCAATAGACTGGGGAACATGCAGGAGGCCAGGACAAGGGGAAAGTAAACCATTTAGTAAATACTAAGGAAAACTGATCCCTGATGATGACTGTTAATACTCCTTACCATAGCGACCATTGGGATCCATGGCTTTGTTTAATAACCGACACCTATTTAAATCCCTAAGGAATTCATTCTCTGACTTAAAGGGTGTTGTTATAACAACCATCATAACTCTGACTTTACTCTGGGGTACCAATAACAACTCTTTTACACAAAAAGAGACACTAAAAGCAGATACCTGGCTGCATGTCTCTGGGCCTCAGTTTTCCCATCTGGAAAAGAAAAGGGTCTGGCCAGGGGATTTCAGAAGTTCCTTATAAGGCGAGCATCCTGATAAAACTTTACTCAAGTGCCCTGTGGGAATACCACAAAAATGAAACCCTCTAGAACCCCTAGGAAAAGAAACAAGTGTAGCCAGGAGGTAAAAGGGACAGGACAAAACAGCACACTAGCTTTGGGGAAACCCAGACCTGAAGTGTTTTTTTGGTTTTCCAACTTTTCCTCTGCCAAACATAAAAATAGGCAGCTGCTTCCGTGGAACTCTCAAAAAGAATTTAATTAAATAAAATCAATGAAAACAATGCTTTGCTCTCCCACAAGTGGCTCAGGAGTAGCCCGCTTAGAGACACTCTCTTCCCTGCGGAGCCAATGTCAACAGCCCAATGCTTGGGCCCAAACAAAGGCCTCCTGGCATAGGGATGAGAGGCAAAACATCTAAGTCCCCACAGTTGGCCCTATTCCAGTCTGAGGGGAAAAGGGCAGCAAAGAGAGAAAAATAACTAAGCTTATGAAAGACTAGGAGAAGAGTCAAGAACGACTAAATCTGTCTTTTCTTAAATGATAATAAAGAGCTTTTGAAAGGGATAATGTAAGGGTGCAGCCTTCAATCTGAATTACTTTCTTTGTTTAACTCCGTTCTGCCTATGGTCACAGACTTTTACACCAACCCCAGAATCCTGGTTTCGCCTCTGGTTGCTGGCAAGGCCTGGAGGCCGCGTGGGCGTTGGGAGACCCGGACTCAAATCCTCTCTCTTTCCGATGTCACTTGGTTTCAACTCGGGGAAGTGGCTGCACCTTCCAGGTCTCCATTTCCAGCTTGTAAAATAAGAGGGTTCACGAGATCCCCTCTGGATCCTCAGCAGCAGAGGTGTAGGGCTGAAGGCCCTCCAGTTCTCCCCAGGGACAGGTTTAATTTCCAGAGGTCCTGGCGGCCGGATGGCAGGGCAAGCACCTGGCCGCGGTGCCTCGGCTCCTGCCCACGCCAGCCGCCCACTCCCACGACCTGAGGGGCTTGCTTCTGCACCAACACCATCACCTGTGAGACCGATTCACCCTCCCACCCACGTCACCACTGCCGGAACAGGCCTGATTAACTAAAATCCGCCAAGCTGAGCAGAGCATATGTAAGCAAAGAAAAAGCAAAACAAACAAGAGCCCTCTCCTCGCTGGACCTCAGAATTTCTCTCAAACTGACAGAACTGAAGATACGAGCGACCCTTCCCCAGAACCAGAGGCCTCAGCTAGCCTTGCGTGTAAAAATACATAACAAGCCCCAAGCCAAAAGGGGCCAATGATCCCCGGGCTGGCTAGACGCAAGGAAAGGACCTACAAGGCAAAGCGCAAGCAAAAGGCCAAGAAGACCGAGAGCGCGCCGGGCGCTGTTTAAATTGGACCGTTCTTTCTGCAGGCTGGGGAGGCGCTCGCCATCTCCCAGCAGGGCCAGTCTCCAGAGTGCAGGGACAATGGTGCGCTAGGCACGGTCTTTTTTGGGGGGGGCGGGGGGGGAACCCATGGACCCTTAATTCAAACCCGGGTCTTTAAGACGTGCGGTGGAAGTGAGAGGCTGTCCTGGTCGCATCAAGTAATGCACCACAGCCGGGGACAGGCTCTTGGCCTGGGGTAAGCTTTGTAACTGCTTTTGAGTTTCGTTTCCCCCTTTTATAGTCTGGCAGTTTGGTCTGACGGCCAAGTGGTACCTTTTCAGTGTCTCCGTCGTCCTCTCCGGCCAGAGGCGCCCCGAGCGCCGCTCCCTCCCCCGCGGCTTGAGACAATGGCCGGGTTCCGCCGGGCGGCCCTGGCAGGGCCAGCCAGGCGCCGGGATCCCGCGGCGGAGCGCACGTGCGTTTGTTATGGTGCCTGAGCCCCCACCCCCGCCGCAGGCCTCAGTTTCTCGGTCCGCAAATGCAGCTGCCGGAATACGCGGGACCCCGGAGTCTGCGAGGCGTCCCACACCTCACCGACGGGGCGGTGGGGAAAGCGGGGCGCACGTGGGTTTGTTGTGGGTCCGCAAGCTCGCGGAGCCCGGGGGAAGCCAGGGCGGTCCCTGGGCCGGGACAAGCACAGCGACACCCCGACCCCAATGGTGGCCGGCCCGCGGGCGAGACGGCTGAGGCGGCGCAGGGCACCGGCGCCGCGCGCCCCGCCGCCCCGCTCGCCCTCCCGCGCCCCTTCGCACGCCTCCGCCCGGGCCCCGGGCCGCGCCGCCGCCCCGCGCACCCCTACTCACTCGCTGCGCGCCCGGCCGCCCGGACTGCGGCTCCGCCCGCTCCGCGCCCCCGCCGGCCGGCAGCAGCTCCCTTTGTTAGCGCCGGGCAGTGCCCTAGGCGTCTTCCCCAGCCCGGCCCTGCCCTGCGCTCCCCGCCCCCAGGTGCCGCCCGACTCCGCTCCCCGCAGCCGCGGGGAGCCCGGCGCCAGGTCCCGGCAGGAGGGTCTGCTGGGGACGGGTGGGGGACCGGGGCCGAGGGGTGGAGGGGACGGTGAAGGAGGGGAGAAGAGCGCGGCAGAGGGGCGGGGGAAGCGACGGCCTCCGTTATGCAAATAGTCGGGCCGACGGGGTGGGTCCCCGGTCACACGGCGCCCCAAACCCACTAGCGTGGCCCTCCGGGGGTCGCTAGTAAGCGGGCCTCCGGACGAGCGGTGCCCGGTGAGCGCACTGCGTGATGCTGGGCCCCTGCCTCCGGCTGAGGAGGCCGGACGCAGGAACAGGGGGAGGGGCGAGGCGGCTGGGCCGCGACCCCCAAATGCTGGCTCACCTCCCCACTCCGTAGGTCCCGGAGGGTTCAATCCCACACTCTCTCGGGCTTTTCAAGCGGGAACTATAAATCCTGGCTCAGCCACCGACTGACTGCGTGACCCTGAGCAAGTCACTTAACCTCTCTTAACTATTCTTATGTAGAATATGAAAACACAAAATCTCTTTCCCGGGGTTTGACAAGAACCTCCCGACATCAGGCCTGGCAGGCACTAGGTGCTTTGGAACGCCACAAATACAAAAGGGGCACGTGGCCTCAGCTGTCTGCAGGCTGGGGAGGGGAGGCCTCAGGTAGGGTGGTGAAGGAGCGAGGTTCGTTCCTTTCACTGAGGCTGATCTGGGGCTTCTTAGGAGGTGGCGGCAAGAAGAAACCGCAGATTGAGCAAGAATCACTGCATACTAACCATCCCTTGGTGGCCCAAGGGCCACTTAGACAGAAAACCGCCCTACAGGAAGGCCAGAAGCAGCCTTGGGCCGCCACCCCAGTTCCCCGAGACAGGATGTGACTACCAATGGCAGGAATCATCGACCGAATGTATTTTGAGCATGCACTTGGCACCAGGCTCTGTGTTTGGAGGAAGGGCAGAGTGGAAGGTAGTCTGGGTCCTCTGGGGACACAACGTGGGGGGAACACTACCAGTGCTTGAAGCCCAGACACAGAACTCTCTCCAAATCTAGGTGACCACTCCCCATCACAACTTGAGAAAGGGGAGCTCACATCCTCATCTCAACTCCATCGCCCTTCTTCCAGATATTGCTTCCTCCCTTCCCAGATCCTGGACCCCTCCTGCTATGCTGCTGGCCCTTCCCAGCTCCTGAGGTAGCATTACTGCTCAGTACAAAGAGCTCCAGTTGGATGAGGTGCCAAGCAGAGTGAATTCCAATCTCTGTGACCAACTAGCTGTGTATTGGTTTGAGTTCCTCAACATCTCTGAGTCTCTTTGAACCTCTTTCCTCTTCTGTAGGGTGGAGATACTAAGGACAGCGTTGTTTTCAGGATTATGTGAAACAATCTCTATGAAGCCTTCAGCTCGGTATCTGGCATATAGAAGGTTCTCGTAACAGTAAAATGTGTTACTGGCGAGTGGAAGTAGACAAACTCATAAGACTCTTTCTGGGAGGATGCCATATTGAAGATTTCGACTTTATTCTCGGAAAATTGGAAACTCTTAAAAGATTTTATGCAGGGGCATGGCATACATCCTTGTGTTTTATACTGATTTTTCTGACAGCTTACTGGAAAATGGATGGCAGGAGCAGCGACTACGAGCATAGAGCATAGAGACCAGCTTGCAAGCTGCCATCCGGGGAGATATAATAGGAGCTGAGGCAATGACAGCAGGAATGAAAAAAAGATATGCAAATAATACCTACGATTTGGGGAGCAAAAGCGCTTTGCCTTACTATATTGTCTGTCCTGGTCAAAAGATACATGATGGCCTTAACCTCATTGTCTGGATGAGAAAGTTGAAGTCACCAAGAAAAATGGAAGAGCTAGAATTTGAACCCTCTTCCACATAAATGGAGAGCCTTAATCATTTCCTTCCTCAGTATCACTTTTGTTGTCAACACTACTTAAGAACCAACAACAAGGGGGCAGTTGGCTGGCTCAGTCAAAAGAGCATGCGACTCTTGATCTGGGGGTGATGAGTCAGAGCCCCACAGCTATAAAGATTACTAAAAATAAATACATAAACTTAAAAAAAAAATGAAGAACAAGAAACAGAGGAGAGGCTTTTCTAGAAGGTTCTCCAGTCCCTGTTCCACAGTACTCTTTACAAGGAGAACTACAGCCAAATTATGGAGAAAACAAAGGAAGAGGCTCGCTCTGGGTTCCTACCAGACCCTGATGAGCTGAGATGACATGAAACGCCCAAGAAGTTCCTGGGGCTATGAGGAAGATGAGTGGGCAGGTAGGGAAGATGCCCCTGGAAGATGTCCAGGGTGGGAGCAGCTGTGGAGCCCTTCCATTTTGGGGCCACTCCCTCCAGGTTGCAGTTGAGGCCTTCTGACCTGTGAGAGGCAGGAGGTAGATGGTCCTGTCCTTCCCAGCCTGTCAAGGAGGCTTCCCCACGCATTGTTTCTGGGGCCCCTGCCTTGACAGGCTGTTTTTCATTGAAGTACAGATAACTAATTTCCCTCTGGACACTATCTCCCCATGAACTCATCCTCTGCTCATGAATAATATTTTAGGTAATGCCTTTCTTGGTCATCATTTTAGGCAGTTTACTGGCTAATACAAATAATGCCCTACTTTATAACATTCATTTGCAACAATCCACTCACAGTATTTTCATAGCACTCTTGAATTGGGGGTGGTGCTATTACACAGTCTTGTAGGGAATAAAGAAAACACAGGCAGTTGAAAATATCCTCCCAGGGGCACCTGGCTGGCTCAGTTGGTTAAGCGACTGCCTTCAGCTCAGGTCATGATCCCGGAGTCCTGGGATTGAGTCCCACGTCGGGCTCCTGGCTCAGCGGGGAGCCTGCTTCTCCCTCTGACCCTATCCCCTCTCATGCTGTTCCTCTCTCTCTCTCTCTCTCAAATAAATAAATAAATAAAATCTTTAAAAAAGAAAAGAAAAGAAAATATCCTCCCAAACCCTCCTTCCTCATCCCCCTCTAGATGCTCACGTAGAGCATTTGACGGCCCCTGCGGTTCTTCTCTGAACACCTTCAGCACCCATTGTCCAATATTAGGGTGGGCTCAGGGTTAAAGGAACCACCCTGTGGTCTGTCTGCACCCCCTACCTTGGGCCTCAGTGCTCTCAGCTTCAAGGATAAAGGTACCTATATGCAGCTAAGTCTATGGAACCCAACTCAGAAAATAGAAATAGAGTCACAGTATCTCTAGGAGAACAACACTAGGGGACAGAGGCTGGACACTAGAGACAGGCCCCATGGGAGGACCACAGCCACAGGACAGGGAAATGGCTAGCCCGACCGTGCCTAGCACAGCAAGCAGCATGGCCCCAAGACACCAGAGTATGATATGGGCATAGTGTGAGCAGGCATGGTCGCAGAAATGGACGTGTTGTGTGGGCACAGGTGTCGTTGGACTGTGCTTTGCCCCATCAGTTTCAGTGTCCAGCCCTGTCCTAGGAGATACGAGGAGAAACCAAGTCTCAATTATCAAATCATTTATGTTTTAGCCAAGTATCTTTTGGTTCATAATAATAATTGCCATCTACTGAATATCTGCTGTGTGCAAGGCAATCTATGTACATGTTCTCGTTTAATCCTCACTTGGCGGAGGGGCTATCATTCTAGGAACCTGGTATACCCAAGTTCTCTTAGGCTACTCCTCCTGTTCTTGCCTTAAGGCCAATCTTAGCATGAAATTAAAGGCTACAAATCTCATTCCAAGACCATGAAAAAGTGAGAGAGGTCTTTCCTGCAGGTTTCTTAAGGAGACAAAATGGGGTCACACCAAACATCAAGATGCAAGGCTTCCTAGATATCTGCTTACAACATCTCTTTCTCTGATGTTCTACTCCTGACATCACCTTCTCACATTTCTCCACCTGCCTCCTCAGCATCCCGCACCCTCCCATGATGCTCCTCTAGCTCCCTCCCACCTCCCAAGCCTTTCCCTCTAGAGGTCTCCCTTAATTTGAACTAGCCTCTCTCTGTGACTCCAAAAGGTATGAGAAAAAGAGTGGGAAGCTGCAAAAAAATAAAGACAATGCACATGAACATAGATCTTTACATTTACAAATGGCTTACATATACATTACCCCACTTGAGCCCTTTGAAGACTCGCAACAGCCTGTGAGGTGGGTATGGCTCCTTATCATCCCCATTTACAGATGAGAAAACTGAGGCTCAGAGGTAAAGCGAGTTGCCTAAAGCCCATCAGTGAGTGTTGAGCCGTGCCCTGAAACCAAGGCCTCCTTCCTTCGTACCACATGTGGCCCAGGGCTTCAAAAGCCTAGAAGGGCGCATCAAAATGTCAGTTACACTTCACACACTGCTGCCTGCCCCAACTGCTGCCCTGGGGCCCTGGGGCAGGACTCAGAAGCTATGCCCAGGAGACCCCATTCACTAGCAATGGAAGGAAGGGCAGGGGCAAAAGGACTCAGAAATCAAAGATGCTTGTAATAAATTCCCTCAAAGAGATCCAGGAAACTGGCTTCTCTCAAGGGACTCCTATCAGCACCAAAGAGGAAGCTGCCTCCTGGGTATTTATTACCGGAGGATGACCTTCAGAACACCTATGTTAATGGTCAGGCTTTGTGCAAGAGAGTATATGGGGCAGTGAAACATCTCTGAAATTAACAAATGTTTGGGGGGGAAAGGGATCAGTATCTGATGCCTGTTGGTGATGTCTCCCAAACCTGCCTCTTTAGGATCTCATGTTTTTAAAAAGCTATTGTTAATAGTTGTTCTA